CTATAGGATGACTTAGGATATAGGATAGCTAATCATCCTTTAGAATATATGTTTGGTGCCATTTTCGGAACCTCAATTTAAAAAAGAATGTTTAGATTTATTTTTCGTCAAAAAGAAGATAACAATGAAAATACATATGATGTTGACATTTAAAAACGAGTAAACAGAAGACATGTTTGAGAATGATATATTCTTTGTGTATCTAGTAAACTTTTATGATATGTTGGAAGTTATTTTGTACATTTAATTCGTCTAAATACATCGTTTTGGAAGTTAAATGGATTTAAAGATCAAAATTTTTGTTTTGAAAGTATTTTTCAAGATTTTTAGTGATTTTATAAATGAAATAAGAGATGTATTATGTTTTTTATTTCAGGTCCAAATTATAAATGTAACCAAAATTATGAGTGTTAGAACTTTATGTAGGTTTTGAGAGTTATCAAAGACAATTTTGCAATTCTCTTTCAATTATTTGCAGTTATTGAAAAAATATTATTATTGACAATAATCTTACAAAAATACTACTAACTACTAATTTCATAGCCTATAATCTTTACCATCGTTAGCAAAGTCATTTTTTAAAAAGTAGGATCAAGATTTATCTCATTTTCTTTGGATATGAGAGTATAAGTTGTATTATCAATAATCTTTAAAGATATTTAAATAGCCATTTGTTATATCTTGGTTTAGATAGTGTCAAAATATCAATTGCACTAAAAGGATAAAATTATATCAAATATATTGCGATATCGGCAGCTTCAGATCAAAATTCATATGCTAATCATGATTGGTTCAACATTTTTCACATCTTTTCCAACACTCTTATATTTTGACGTTGAGAAATAGCGTCTTATTGCGGACTATAAACCGTGATGAAATGACAAGTAATTTCCTCTTTTTTGCAATATTTTTTTTATTACTCAAAGGTATAATTGACATCATTATTCATAGATAACCTTCTTATTTTTTGTCTAGTTTGAGTTTCAATTTGTATATTCAACATTAAAAAGTTATAAAAAAAGTCTCACAGTTGTGTGTAAAAAAATCAATATATACAAATCTCAAGTAATCATTAATTAAAGATACATTGTAAAATTTTTTCACAAAAATCTTTTCACGTTTGAGAATATTTTCACAAATCACTCACTATGTACATACACAAATTACTCCTCAAAATGGTGAATTTTAACACTAAAGGCTTGCCTATGATGTTTGCTCATAACTATTCTTAAAATTCTAAGTCAATTTTATTCATGCTAGGTAACAAGTTACTAGCATCAAGAATGTCATGTACATTTTAGTCACGTGTCATAGCATAGAATGTCAAACATGGAACATCTCAACTCAAGATTTAGCAACGTTGACTTCATCATAGATGATAATGACCTTTAGCATGTATAGATTATTGTGCTTATGTATTTGATTATATGCACTTAGCATAATATTACATATTTGCACCTCAAGCACTCTCTTATTTGACATTCATTCAAGATTTTTCAGATTTAACATTCCAAGAGAGGTCAATTTTTTTTCATCTCATCTGATGTGAGTCAATATATATCTAATTTCATCAAAGATTTGAATTTTAACAGATTTAATATATTCAATCCTAGAGCTTTGGTCATTTCCATTAGAATTAAACAATTTGATAGTGAAAAAATATTAAAAAATTGTCAAATATAACAGATTTGATAAAGAGAAGTATCGTTTACTATCCATACGTCACAAAATTTCTTCGATGAGTTGCAGAGATCATATCTTTTGCATCATAGATCATTTTTGAGCAAATCATTCTCCTCGGCACTAAACTCTTTAGCCACATTTGCTAAAAGTGGATTATCACCTTGTTTCTTTATGTGCTAGTACTTTTTGATATGATCATTCTTTTTTTTTTGCATATCATCGTCTTTATCTCTAGAAATTTTTTCTAGACTTTTTCTATATTTAATCTCGTCACGTTTGACATCCTTGTACTTATTTTAATATGATCTATTTTGATACACATTTTGTTTCGAATGAAAAGAAGAGGCTGAAAAAGTAGTAGCATCATTGTTTGCTGAAAATGATCAATCAATAGTACACTTACAACTTTTTGATAATTAATTGATGTTAATCACGATGAAGTAAGACCGAGGACAAAGACTTATATGAAGTTGATAGCAAGCTCAGAAGATGTAGGAAGTATTCCTCATCACTTATCTTCTCATAAAGATACCGTGGACCAATTATCAAGCCATCAATCGTGTCAATGTGATCATGTATCTTGATGCCAAAATGTTTCATCTTAACGCTCATCAACCTCAAAAAAGAATTCAACCTATTTGACAACTCTTTTTGATAAAACCAATGTTCAAGAACCTCAAACAAAAAATGTCATAATGTTCTAACTTCTTCAAAATCAAAGTTTGTAGATTTTTTATCAAACCGTTGTTTTAAAGCGTTAACAACAAAGTGCAATTGTCTTAGTCTTATAACTTTTTCGAAACCAAAGGTTGTAGATGTATATGAACATGCTTACAATGTGCTTCTAAATATTTTTCCAATTATTGTTGTTACAAGTAAAATATTGAGCTTTAACGTCTTTCTCAATTCCATAATCTTCAGTTTGCCCTTTATCTATTTCTTCCAAAGTAAAAATTCTCCACGTTGATCAAACCGAACTATCTCATAACCTGCTGCGCCATCTCAATGATCGTCATCTTGTTCTACCGCATCGTTGAAGTTTTGTCTTGTGACGTTGAAGCAAATGAATCTTCTCCACTCATGTGTCAAGATTTTGAAGTTGCTTATGAGGTTGGTTAGACCAAGCTTTAGATGTTAATTTTTTTCCTTTTTCTGAATCAATTGTCATAGAGAAAGGGATTTTGCAATTAGCCATAAATAGAGTCGCCAAGTCTCTTAAATAACCAAGAGTCAAGGCTTAGAATTTTGCTAGGACGGCAGCTAGGAATTTCCTGCCGTTGGATTCTTCATGACAACAGCCAGTTTCTCCCACTTACGATTTTGACCGTTTCTCGCAGTTTGTCCTGACTGCCGTCGATTTCTTGACGGCTTCAGTCAATTTTCTGCCGTATGGACAACTTAATGATAACGGCCGTCAAAAAGGTTTTTAGACATTAGTTGTTTTAAACTTTACAGCCAAAACTATTTTCCAGTTGTAAGATCTATCAATAACAGAAAAATTTGCTTGAGGGTACCCATCAGAACGCTTTACTGCTTGATGGGACCCAATACGTTCCATTTTACCCTATGGTACCACTCCGAGGGATCAACGATGTTCTTGTGACGACTTTGTTTCCATTTCAATGAGGATAAAAATTCTTCACGAATTTAAGTTAGTCAGATTTCCCATGGCTCCCAATCTTCATGTTCTTGTAACTACTTTGTTTCCATTTCAATGAGGATAAAAATTCTTCACGAATTTAAGTTAGTCAGATTTCCCATGGCTCCCAATCTTCATCGTGCAAGAGTTTAATTTCTCACGTCCCAAAATGAATTTATAGTTATAATGTACGGGCGTAATTACTTACTCCTTACTTTTTTTTTCTCAAATTCCTGATGGAAGTCACGCAAGTTGCGTATTTTGGTCCGCGAAGTGTCTCGGGAAGAAGTCACTTTTCAACAAATAGCCGCAGTGCTTTTCCTAACCCGGATTGAAAGCAATTACAAGAACTTGTCGGAATGGTCCATCGGGTAAAATAGAACTTATTGGGTCCCATCAAGCAAATTACTCACCTTTGGCGTAATAGTTTTTATGCTTTCGAATTGGACGGCCGTTCTTAAGGTTTTCATGGACCTGACGGCTGCGATTGCTTCATACAGCACGAAGTTGAGATAGTCACAAGGGTAATGGCATTTGAGGTTGGGTTCACGATCTCATTAAATCTTTCCTGCGCGCGATGATAAACTCCGCTCATTCCCACATGGATTTCTTGTCCGTGCCCATACTCTCTAGCTGCTTCTTACCGCTGATAAGCGGTAAGAAGCAGAAATGTCGGACTGAGCAAAATGTCGGACTTGCAAACGTCACCGTTCAGAAACCGCGCTAATCTCTTTGAGTACTTCGGCGGCGCGAAATACGTTGCCATGCCTTTGGTCGATAGTTGTCCTGTATAGAACCGCCGAGACCTAACGTCAACAGTAGATGCCTTCGTCCTTCTCATCAGTCCGCGTCCGCGTCCTCGTCCAGGACCGTAGTCCGCCATTCCACCTTCCTGCCAGGTGCTTACGGATTCTTGCAATTGCAGTTTTGTCAAACGATCAATGAAATTCATCAACAACGATCATCCAACCGCTAAGAGTTGTCTCGTCACGTCCGATAAGAACTGACTAGCGAGCTTTAACTGTAATATCATCTTTGAATTTCTTAAATTTTTAGAACAAGAATCTTCACATTGTAAACCAAAGCGTTTGAACACTACAGCCATGGAACGAACGAATGAACATCAAGTATACACGAAACCTCCTCAAAGATACAGTACTGCATTTGTATCAACAAGGAGAAGAAGGCAGAGATGACAACCCGCTGATCTGAAATTTACTTCAACCGATCACATGGCTAGTTCTGCAATTCTGACACCCACTATTACTTAGTTTTCCCCAATATTAAACCAGGTGTTAACTTCATTATTGGGTCAGTGCAGCCAAATCTCTTATTGTGGCTTTGTCACCATTAACAAGAGCCTAGACCTTGTGCTTCCTTTCTTGATCGGACTTCAAGATGTTCAATGAGCGCTGTCAGTCAACGCTGGATTCAACAGAACCAACGGAATCCAAGTAGCACTTGTCTTCGTATGTTGGACGTTATTGCAGAATGAATTTTTGACGTTGATGCTGCTATTAATGTTCACTCTTCCGGTCGTCTCAGCGCGTAGAGTCCTCTTGGTTTCAGATCATGGCAGCGATCTCTGAATGCTAGTTTTTGTCTCTGGTTTGAAACGATGGCTATCATAATATATTGTGCAGGATTGTAAGACACAGATCCCATAGTTAAAGTTGTATTTTATTGGTAAATAAATTGATTTACAACAGCCACATCGCGATTAGAGTCGCTACCCCAGACCTCAGTACGAGGTCTCTTAGACTTGCTACCAGCTATACGTATGTACCTGCAATAACTAAACCTACGGACGTTTACAGTGGCAGCTTGTATAGAGGGACAATGCCTAGATCAGGATTGGCACATTGTTGATTTATGGCTAAGAGCAGTTCCTATTATCAATGAAGTCTGAGTTGAGACAGCGATAACTAGTTCTTGTAGCATTCCAGAAGTGACAAATGATCGACTTGTGCGACAACTTCAACTCTTTTGAATCCGGCATCAGCTGCAAGCTGTTTGAACTCGGACAGTGTACGTTCCCTTCCCTTTGGAGTGCATGCCAGCATGGCGATATCTGCGCACAAGGAGACCTTGGTTGCGGGGGATGGATCTGAGACATCTGACAGCAGTGCGTCGAGGTTGAGGAGCTTGCCATGAGGAGGTAAAGCTCTGTAGATGTTTTCCAGTATCTTTAAACATCGTTCGTCATCCCAATCATGCAGAATCCACTGTCCCCATCCAAGAAAGAAAGACGATTTTAGCTCGCCGACCACGCAAAATTCCAGAATCACCCAGAGAACATTCTTCAAGTTTACAAATACTTCTTGCAATTTTAAACTATAATAGAGAGAGAAATACATGGCCAACGATTCAATGTGATCAGAACTCCTTCTCAGGAAACAAGCATATTTTTGCAGATCTTATGCATCTTCAAGGCAAGAGCAGGATGCATACCTTCATGAACACAGCATCGGCTTCAGGCACGCTCTCGAAGAAACTTCCACCAACGTGTTCCAAATCTGCACATTGAAATCCAGAATGTATAGTGAGCTGAGTTGATTCTCGTGGTTATAGAGGTGTCGATCAGAGTGTATATCATGAGTATACAATATGGAGTGATGAGAGAGGGAGGGAAGGAGAGAGAACCGTACTCGGCACTTTCAGCCCTTCAGCTACAACATGTGGCTGGTCGAAATTGATTCCGCGTAGATTCGGATATTTGGACAGAATCATGGCCAAACTAGCACCTAACCCACCGCCCACATCGACTAATGATGTCAAGGTTTCAAAGCCTCGGTACTTCTCCAGCAGCGCCGACATTGCAATGTGTGAATGATCGTGCATGGCTTTGTCAAACACCGTTTGAAATCTAGCATCTGTTGCATAGTAATCAAAACAGTTCTTCCCATGAACAACCACGTGGGGCTCCGATTTTGCATCCAGAACTGGCAAGTGAAGGCATTGGTAGGGTGCTAGGAAAATGGGATCAGTGACCATAAGAAGAAGTGGAGCCATTGAAACTCCATCTTTGTTATCGGTGAAGTACTTGAGAGTAGAAGTGGATCCATAACGCCTCTGAGGCGAGTCAGAGTCATTGACATTCTTCGATAAAGTTTCCGTCACGACGTTGAACGATGCCAAAACTCTTAGGATGCGATCCAAATTTGCGGGATCTGCACAGCAATTCGAGAGCTTGGAGATGGCCGCCGCAATCTCTTCAACTGTGAGACCAGTTCCAGGACCTGCATCCACCAAAATTTTGGGTACTCCTAAAAGGACAGCGGCTTTCACACAGAATGGAAGGGCCACGATGTCAGTCAGCTGCAATGCTTGCAGCCTCCCAGCTGCGTCATCTCCAATGTTCTCCGGTAGAGTCATTTCAGAACGGCTGAGCTATCTATTCGAGTGTTTGTCGTTGCAGTTGTGGTGAGGTGGATGCAGGAAACCGGAGCGATCTGAGGAAGAGCCAATTGGACCCGCGTTATATATCATCAAATTTGGCCATCACCTTTTCAATCAGTCCCGAGCCTCGTCACTAACGGCTCGTCACAATCAGGGTAACGCGAGCTCTGCCCGCAACCCAATCCCCTTCCCTCGACTCGGGTTCTTTCACTCGCGGCCTCCCTTCCCCGCAGGGACCTTGTATTTTTTATTTCCTTTTAGGGGAAAGAGAAATGGAGAAGGAGCATGTTTGGGGCTTCCACTCTTCTGCCCCCAAAATAAATTATATCCTTTGGTTTTTCCAAGTCACTCTTTCCTTCCTATTTCTATTAATTTTTTTTCATTTAAGTAAATCTATTATTGCCATGATGGAGAATTCATAACGAAAGATTATACAAACGCAAAATTATAAAATGATAACAAAATCAATGAAAAAAATTAAATCATAAATTTTATTTTACAAAAATCTCATGATTATATTTTTTGCAAAAAAATTAAATTTACTGTTCATTTTATCAATGTTTTTTAGCACAAATATCACAAATGACTTGGAAAAAATCAAATCAAAATTATTATAAAAAAAATAAAAATAACTTTGGTTAACAATTCCACATTCTCGAATTATAATATAAAATGAACGTTCACGCCCGTGGTCGAAGGGGGCGGTAGAGCTCGCGTTTCCCCATTGTGAGCAGTCCTGAGTTCAAGGTCGAAATCAAGCTTTCAGAAGCAAAGCGATAACATTTATTGAACATCACATTAATTTATTCTGACAATGTGTTTTCTTTCCCTGTAGCAGACGATGTGGATCACAATTAAGTACATCAAGTGTGTTTGATAAAAGTACAGTACTTCGTGACCCACTTGGATCATCAAAGATCCAAGTGAGTAGATCTTTGATGAGTAGGATTCAGGCATTTAAGATGGTCAAAACATGTCGAGCGGTCGGTACTTCCATTTGTCTGGACGTGTAATGATCCGAGCTTCTTGGAGTCATCGGTTCTGGCAGAAAGGAATCGCGGCTTGGTTACGCAATTTATTGAAGTGCGGCTTAAGCTTAGGCTTAATGTTGATTAATCAAATTTCTAAACATTAATATAATATTATTTGGGCGAGACAAGGTGGAGGGCAATCTGATAGCGCGTCTGCTTTGGGCGCAGAAAGTTACAGGTTCAAATAAGAGGAACAAATCCCTTCGACTTCCGAGGAACAGCAAGATAGATTATCATGTTCGAAGACTCGTTTGTTAATTTCGAAGCAGAACTTCTCCTCCATTCACCATCAGCAGATGCCATCTGCCATAGATTCATCCTCACTGAGTAGAAATTGACACCCTTTCGCGACCAATTTTGATAACTTATGGCAATCACGATGGTTGGATCCTCAATTTACTCACAGTAAATTGTCAAGGAGTATGTTATAGAGACTAAACAGATATTCTTTGGCTAACCATGAAATAAATAAATAAATAAATAAATATGTTTATAGGGTTTACCCTGTACATACACTCTCTTTTTGAAGTCAAAACTAACATATATGTTTTGAAATTCACAAAAGATTTCATATAACTTTCAAGCTTCAATATAGTAACAGAGCTACATGCTTGCCAACACAATATCGTTCAAGAGGTCTCATCAAACATACAGAAAACATAGAAGCATAATCTTCATCCTTATACAGTTGCTTCTCTTCTTCCCTTATACAGTAGGTTGTTCACCTTACCTGATGGAAGGTCCTTGCTTATGTAAACAATTCAGTCAAAAACATGCTCGCAGTTATTTGGTATATTTGATCATTCTAACAAAAATAATCCAAGAAGTTGGATCTACTGTATCGTCAAGTTCATAAAGCTTAATGCATATGACATCATTTGGATTGAGTGGATAGAGGTTTAAGCCTGATATGTCTCTCGGTTTATGAATTGTGGTAAATTTTTAAACTCACAGATTCACTTGATTTGGAAATTATACAATAGTAACTCATAAGTCAAAAGTATACTTCTTGAATTCAACTGAAGAAGAATCAAGGTATGTACGCAGAAACTGTTGATTTTTCATAATGGCTCATCTTTAGTTCATTCAACATTACTCAAGAAAAACCTTGCCTTAATTAATTTCACTGAGTCATCTGATAGAAATAGAAATTTCACTGAGTCATCTGATTGAAGATTCGAAAGTTTGACATGTTCAGGGCTGTATTTGATAAACAGTCAAGACACGTTGAAGGAATCTCATATTGAATCTTTAGGTTTCAAATGGCACTTGCTGTATTAAATAAACAGTCAAGATTCGTTCAAGGAATTTCATATGAATAGTTTTATGCTTCAAATGCCACGTGCTGTAACAAATAACCAATCAAAACACGTTCAAGAATCTCATATTGATATTTTCAAGTGGCACGTATTGTGTCATGCTCCCCCCCTAGTCTTTGACATTTTCTAAGAAAATTAACTCTTGTGCTTAATAGTTATATATTTAAAAAAATGCATAATTTGGTAGCAGAGTGGAGGTGCATGGGCACTCTCATCATATGTTGCAAAACGTAAGGTTGTTCCAAAACAATTTCTTGTTTTTGTGTAGTGAGGATGAATGAAGAGAGTCGTTTGTCTTACATACAAAATTTTCATCGATTCATTCGCTAGATTAAGCTTCATAAAATTCATAAAATTTCCAGAATCCAAACAAGTGTTTAACACTCGACATCATGAAATCTGCATTCATGTGTGAAAACGTTTTCATAGTTTAAAAACCCTTTGGATTTCGGGAGAAAACAGCTCGCATCGAAAATATGTAGATTTCACTCGATCCATAGAAACATGGATCGAGTGATAATTGTATTGAAACGGTTTAACTCCTCCCAATAGAACGTTGTGGGCCAGGTGAGCAGAGTCAATAACTCGGACACACGTAGATAAAGACATCAGAGTGTGTCATATAGTGCTCGAGGTTACTGCATCTGGTCGGTGTACGTCGTGAGTACCCAACAAGTCTACTGTACAGCACGAACTTGGCAATAATTGCAAAGAAGACCCAAGGACGAGGAGGATGCACGTGACACAGTGCACGAGTGGAGTTTGGACACACTGCAGGCCTCCTTGTCCTTTCTACGGTTTACTTTCCCGGGTTTGGATGAAAGCGAACCATTTTCCTGATCAATTTCACGATATCTGAGTGCTTATTTCTGGTCCAGAGCTTCCATGGTCACCGAGGCATGCCGATATGCATAACTTGGCCAGTTGAGTTTGCCCTGCTGCTAATTTCTTCGAATGATACAAGTCAGTGACGTCTCGTCCACAATGTCCACTGATCGAAGTCCAGTCTCTTGCCTGCATGTAACATGGCAATGTTGTCATTCTTTGTACTACATTGTCATGCTACCGGATTGGTATTCCAGTCTGTAGCCATGGCAGGCCAAGATAACTCATAGGGCTCATGTCAGAATATTGCGGCTATCGATGACACTCAGTTCATCGAGGGTTTTGTCCACCCTCGGCTGTCTGGAGTATGGTGCTTCAGTTTGAGTGGTCTCATGGACTGAGAGAAGGCTATATAAGTGATGCTTTTCAGGTTGGGTGCCACCGATCAGAACAATGTATTTCGCAGGAAGGCCCAAAGTCAGATTCAGGCACCGGCAGGGCCTAGCCATGGCCAATACCATGACGGGTATCTGCAGATTGATCTAACCATCCAGAATAGAAGACGAAGATGAGTCTGTGCAGTGCAGTGCTTTCAGGAAATGCGGACTAAGTGAGATCGGTGCTATTTCAACAAGCGAATTATTTGAGTGAGAGGATCGAGCGGTACAATATCGGGACGTCGCTGCACATCGCTGCACATCGCTGTCATCGAGAACCGTTTGGAGATACTGGAATGCTTATCGATGATCCTTCAGCTCTGACGCTGATCAACCTCGGGAATTACTTCAATCTCCGACCTTTCCACTATGTCGTCTTGCACCTTATCGTGAAAAGTCGTGATCCAAGTCGTGAAAAGTCTGCTCCTTTGCAACGAAGTCATTGTCGCTTGTCGGGCATACAATGCTGCTACTTCTCTCCTTGTGGCTGCCTACGCCGTAACGATGAGGCTGTGGAGCCGCTCCTGGGCCATCCTCACTGGATGCCAAGTTTCGTTGAGTCTAGAACAAAATTGGAGAATTCACCGCCCTGCACATTGCTCCCAGCAAAGGATTCGAGACGATTGTGCGACTCATTTCGAATTCTGAGAAAGGAACGAGGAAGAAATAAGTAGACATGATCCAGGCGCAGAAAGACCGTCTGCATGGCGAAGGTCGTTGCATCGTGGACGTGGTGATGGAGATGCTTGTGAACTTGAAGTCAGTGGATGTGAAAGGATGTAGAAGGATACACGGCACTCCATCTGGCTGCCAAGCGTGGCTTCGTCTCCATAGTCCAGACGATGCTTGACCACCGAGGATTCGATCCCGGTGTCGTCACTGACTCTTCGTAGATTGTACACGAATGGATGAAGCTCGTTGAGCAAAAAGAGGATATTATGCGAACGGCGCATGGTGCTCAGAATTCCCAGAATTTAAGGGTGTAATGGGACAAAAGCAAGATATCTCCATTTTCTTCGAATATTGGAAATATAATTTGAATATAGTAAATACACTTTCCTTTGTTACTTAGGCTGGACTCTCCATCAGGTCCTCCTACTCCTGTGCATTGTGTGTATGCTCTAAATCGTAGAATGGATATATAAACTGCCTTATAGAAACCTGTTTCATTATAAAATCGAGCAATTCATAACATGGAATATTACTTTGAACTCTTATCTCATGCAGAGTATCAAAAGTGCCAAAACCTTTACTTTGAAATTCTATAACTTTGTTGAGAAATTTGAAAACCTGCATCTCTTAAAGTGTACATATTAAACTAATCTATGATCCAAAATAACTGATAATGTACAATTCAAATGAATTATTCTACAGTATGTACTTTATGTCTGGAAGACATTTCTTTGATTTATTGCTTACGATTCAGACATCTGCACGGGCAGGGGAGCATCAGATAAGGGTGCTTTGTGATGACTATATCAGATAAATGGCTAATATAAAGTTGTAGAAAGTATTGATTTTCGTGATATTCTTGCTAAAGCCCAATAGCTTAGGTATAGAGACTTCATCTTCCAACCAAGATAATTTCAAGAATCTGAAGTCACAACCGTCAAGTTCAGTCTTTCGATCGCCGCCAATACCTTTAACATATTGGAAAAAGGTTGTTCCACATTAAGAACAATTTGAATATATGCGTAGTTACAGGGTTCGAAAGCACATTAAAAATGAACTTGTTACCCCACAAGATCTACGTAAAATCAGTCAGTGAAAAAGAGTTAAAATTTTCAAGATTTTATATCATTAGGAATTGGTCTCTTATTGCATCTAGAATATATGAATGATCTCGGGTTAAAATGAATAGAAATATATAATCATCCAAAAAATTGTAATATAACAATGGTAATCTTTATATTACTACAACTGTAGGCACAATATGTTGTTTAAAATACCCGTGTGAATCTAACTTTTAATGTAATAAAATTTTTAACAACGAGAGAATTGATTCTAATTAATTTTATTCAATTAATATTAAAATATTTATTATTGATATTATTCTTGATATATTCATTAATTAATTTTTTTCTATAAAAATTGTATATGAGAATCCAAGTCAATCTTTACGTTGCTTAATCATGCAACCTACATCATTTCATGTTTATTTCAAATCATTTCAATTTAAATTCAATCTTAAATTATCTTATATGTATGTAAGTTAAAAAATATTAATTTCATAACTACTTAGATCATGGGTAGGAAAATGAAAGCTATATAACATTTGTCAACTAGGGCTTTTGTTTCAACAAGGTTGAAAACTTGTAGGTAGTTTCAACATCATAATATTTCCCGAAAATTCTTCATCAATTTTTTCTTAACTTCTGTGCTCCACATTGTTGAAAAGTAGACGATTTTTTTGTGGTTTTGGTCGAGTGAGGTTTGTGACAAGTGGTATTGAGTTGAGTCCTCTTGCAAGTAACATGGTTCTCATGAATGTCATGACCAGGCCTATGCAGATTAGGCGCATGACTTAAATGTCTTATAGTAAGTAGATTAGACACAAATCCCAAATAATATTAGGGGATGATTAGTGTTTTCAGATTCTTTTGAAACTTGAAAATTTTACGATAGGAGTATATATTGGTTAATCTTGCGCAAAAGTCATAACATTTGCATTGGAAAATCGATTGATTACTTGTTGAATACGTTTTAGCAGATTTTCAACATGGAGAACTGATTCTAGACTGCCGGGAATGGCGAAAACATTCCGACAATGAAATAGACCAGAAAATGAAACGTCCCGACAGGCCGACACTGGTGATCGCAAAAACACGCTACGTCATTCTTATACATGGCACAGAGCTGTACACATTGTACCCCAATCTTGTCGGGGTATCAACTAAAGTAGAGGCGAGCGTTCTGTTTGATGATGACGTGGCTAATATCACTACCTTCACTAGTTCAAAAATATACTTTAGTGTACATTCGAGATCGATGTTGCTGGAGCCACGTTCATCTCGCATTGATACTCAATTCATAAATCTAAAATAAGGAACGCAACGTAAGGAAGAAATAACACCTGAGTTGGTTCGATGACACGTAATCAAAGCCAAAGTATGACTCATGACTTGTTTACACTTTCGCATCCATGACTAGTATTATAGCTTGTAACTGTGACACCAGTGACATGAATTAGTTCACAGGTCCGAAGATTGCGTACGTTGGTGCCGTTGTCGAAGTCTCCAATTGGCAACGAGTTGCATTTGGTTGATATCAGTATGAAATCTACTTATGCCGGTCACATGCCTAGTTTCACTTCATGACATTCTTAACTTGTTCTGAAGGACTGCAATTCTGACACCCACAAACGGCGACTATATTCATTTCTCCCCAATATCAAACCAGGTGTTCATTTCATTATCGGGTCAGCGAAGCCAAATCTCTTATCGTGGCTTTGTCACCATTAACAAAAACCTACACCTTGTGCTTCCTTTCTTGATCGGACTTCGAAACATTCAATGAGCGCTGTCAGTCAACGCTCGATTCAATAGAACCAACGGAATCCAAGTAGCACTTGACTTCGTATGTTGGACGATATTGCAGAATGAATTTTTGATGTTGATGCTGCTCGTAATGTTCACTCTTCCAGTCGTCTCAGCCCGTAGAGTCCTCTTGGTTTCAGACCATGGCAGCGTTCTCTGAATGTTAGTTTTTGTCTCTAGTTTGAAACGATGGATTTCATAATGTGTTGTGCAGAAATATAAGACACAGCTCCCATAGTCAAAGTTGTATTTATTTCGTAAATAAATTGTTCACAACAGCCACATCGCGATTAGAGTCGCTAATCCAGACCTCAGTACGAGATCTCTTAGACTTGCTACCAGCTATACATTATACATTGTTGGTTTATGGCCAAGAACAGTTCCTATTATAAATGAGATCTGAGTCAAACAGCGATAACTAATTCTTCCAGAATTCCAGAAGTGACAAATTATCTACTTGTGCCACAACTTCTACTCTTTTGAATCCGGCATCAGATGCAAGCTTTTTGAACTGGGACAGTGTACGTTCCCTTCCCCTTGGACTGACTGCCAGCATGAACATATCTAAGTACAAGGAGGTCTTGGTTGCGGGGGATGGATCTGAGACATCTGACAGCAGTGAGTCGAGGTTGAGGAGCTTGCCATGAGGAGGTAAAGCTCTCCAGATGTTTTGCAGTATCTTTACACATCGTTCGTCATCCCAATCATGCAGAATCCACTGTCCCCATCCCACAAAGAAAGATGAATTCAGCTCGCAGACCATGCAAATCCAGAATCACCCAGAGATCATGCTTCAAGTTTACGAATACTTCGTGCAAATTTAAACTATAATAGAGAGAGAAAAACATGGCCAACGACTCAATGTGATCAGAACTCCTCCTCAAGAAAAATGCATACTTTGGCAGATCTTATGCATCTTCAAGGCAAGAACAGGATGCATACCTTCATGAACGCAGCATCGGCTTCAGGCACACTAGCGAAGAAATCTCCACCAACGTGTTCCAAATCTGCAACACAAATTGAAATTCAGAATGTATAGTGAGCTGAGTTGATTCTTGTGGGTATAGAGCTGTAGATAATAGTGTATATCATGGAGTGATGAGAGAGGGAGGGGGTGAGTGAGAACAGTACTTGGCACTTTCAGCCCGTCGGTTACAACATGTGGCTGGTCGAAATTGATTCCGCGTAGATTCGGATATTTGGACAGAATCATGGCCAAACTAGCACCTAACCCACCGCCCACATCGACTAATGATGTCAAGGTTTCAAAGCCTCGGTACTTCTCCAGCAACGCAGTCATCTCGATGTGTGAATGATCATGCATGGCTTTGTCAAACACCGATTGGAATCTAGCATCTGTTGGACAGTAATCAAAACAGTTCATCCCATGAACGACCACGTGAGGCTCCAGTTTTACATCCAGAACTGGCAAGTGAAGGTATTGGCAGGGTGCTAGGAAAATGGGATCAGTGAGCAGAAGAAGAAGTGGAGCTAGTGAGACTCCATCTTCGTTATCGGTGAAGTACTTGAGAGTGGAAGTGGGTCCATATCTCCTCTGAGGCGAGTCAGAGTCATTGGGAATCTTCGATACAATTTCAGTCACGACGTTGTGCGATGCCAAAACTCTTAATATGCGATCCAAATTTGCGGGATCTGCACAGCGGTCCGAGAGCTTGGAGATGGACGCCGCAATCTCTTCAACTGTGAGCCCAGCTCCAGGACCTGTGTCAACCAAAATTTTGGGTACACCTAAAGTGACAGCAGCTTTCAAACTCAATGGAAGGGCCACGATCTCAGCCAGCTGCAGAGCTTGCAGCCTCCCAGCTTCGTCATCTCCAATGTTCTGCTGAAGAGTCATTCAGAACGGTTGAGCTATCTAACTGGAGTTGTGGTCAGGTGCATGCAGGAAGCCGGAGCTTGAATTTATCCGAGAAAGAGCCAATTTGACCCGCCTTATATATCATCAAATTTGGCCATCACCTTTTCAGTCAGTCCGGAGTTCACGGTTGAAATCACGTTCATGGTGATTGCGCTGTCAAAAGCACGTTCACGGTAGAAATTTTGTCTTAGGGCTTACGTCTTCACTAAACATCATATGTTTTTTTATATAACAATTTGTTTTTTGTATTAATTTCTTGTAGCAGTCTCCGATAATGTAGTAATGTATTGCAGCACTTATATGTCAAGAAGGTTAATACGTCGTGCCCGCTTGAATCTTTGCGAAGGATTTGAGAAATCCAAACATTTGGTATTTGGGGAAACTATACACAGGATTCTTTGCCTAGTAGAGGTTGGCTCTTAAGAGGGATCCCTATAGACTCTAAATTCTCCGTAACTGCTCCTTCAGACAATCATTGTCAAATCATATCGTGCGGTGGGTCCCTCGAATTGAGCTCAGGAGGAGAAATCCGTCAGAC